GATAGAAGTCAGGCTGATGGGCCTATAGTTTGCCGGATCCACTTTCCTCCCTTTCTTGAAGATCGGCACCACATTGGCCTTCTTCCAGTCTTCGGGCACTACACCAGAGCGCCAGGAGTTTTCAAAGATCCGTGCCAGGGGCTGGGCTATGATGCTCGCCAGCTCCTTGAGTACCCTGGGTTGTAGATTGTAAGGGCCAGCTGACTTGAAGGCATCCAGCCTCTCAAGGTGTTCCTTCATGAGTTCAGCATTAATGGAGGGCAGGGGATCTCCCTCACCCAGACCTCCCTGTCCCATGGTGGGCATGGGCATCCCGTGGGACTGATGAAAGACTGATGCAAAGTACCCATTTAATAGGTTGGCTTTTTCATGGGTGTCAGTTGTCAGTTGTCCCATCTGGTTCAGCAGGGGTCCAATGTTGCCCTTGCTTTTCCTCCGGCTCCCCACTATGCCTTGCTCCCATACCTACTGTATAACTTGTCTTATCCAGTTAGATTACAAAAAATCAGATGGTATGTTTTCCAGTGCAAAAGACTTCTGATCTCTTCTAGCGTTTGTAGTCACTGTAATAAAATAATTAAGTACACTGTACCCTTGATATCAAAACTGTTCCTGACTATTTAAAAACATGTTTTGAAAAGGACACCATGTCATTGTACTGTAAAGGAAGTTGGACAGTTTTCTAATTCATTTCAGGGCATTTGTAGCAGAAACCAAACATCAGTAATAGTTATGATCAGATTAATAAAAGCTTTTCCAATCTTCTTTTTCCTGGCCATTTTTCTCATTTACTAGAGGAGGCACACCCAGGTACATTGCCATTTTATTAACCTTATTTTCTTTACATTTAGGAATAGTTATCAATTCTTCTGTTTCTGTTCAGTGGCCTACCTGCCATTGCCTCATATAGTTGTCCAAGACCTTGTTTTTAATTATCACTGAATACAGGCCTTTCTAATGTTCAATCATCTCTCAAGTGCACTGAATGAGATACTAATAATGCAAACTGTTGGCTTCACTAAGAACATGTGTATTTGTTTACTTCAATTCCTACAGCCCCATTCTAATGATCCTGTACATGTTATAGTATGTAAAAAATATTATGTAAAAGATTCATGAAAAAATAAGGCCTTTATTAGCACACTTACACTGGATCTTCCCTTACTCATTTCTTGTTGCTGTGAATCAGAATACTTACGCAGTAAGGAACTACTTACATCATGGGGGTAGGTGATGAGATCAGGTCTTTTCCAACAAAGGCCACATCAAATCATCCACTGATAACAGTAAAAACACAAGCCAAACCAAATCCATTTTCTTCCTAACTCACTCTGCCCAGATGCCTAAGAAAAATAGATGAGCTTTGCAGTATGTCCAGAAACTTAACAAATCTGTGCTGTGGTAGGCCAAAGAAAGGAAGTCTCAAGTCAGACAGTTGAAGCCCCTCTGTGCACCAGAAAAGAGCTAACTGGAGGCAGCTCCCTAC